GGGCTGGGATGGTATGAATTGATATGTAAGATGAGCAAGGGTTAAGGGGCTCCAGGACACACAAATAAATACACACAAATAAAAAGATTCCCCATATTTTCCCATATTTTCTGGGTTTCTGTCTTCCCCCCCACTTCCCATATTTTCCCATATTTTCTGAGGAATCGAGGATTCATTGTGTCTGTGTGTTTCTTTTCCTCCTGAAAGGGGTCCACATCAGACGCAAATTACATATCGCGAATGGGGATCGTTAACTCCGGCCTCGGGAGGGGGGTAGAATATATTACTCTCTTTAGAAAAGGAGAACATGCGGAGCTGGAATAGATGTTACGCACTCCATGTTGGAAAACCAAAGGTGTGCAGTATATGTGTTGCAAACAATGTTGTGCAATCTATGTGGTGCGCAATCTATGAGGTGCGATTGCCGTGGTACAGTTTATGTGGGCAGTGATCGTGGCGCTATATACGTGGTGCAATCTATGCAGTGCAGTCGGCATGGTGCAGCACATGTGGTGCAATAGGTAGTGTGCAATCTGTGTTGTGAGATCTCTATGGAGCAATATGTGTGGTGAAATGTACGTGGTGCAATCTAGGTGGTGCAGCCTATGTTGTGCATCTATGTGGTGCAGTCGACGTCGTGCCACCTGCGTGATCCGATGCATGTTCTGCGACAGATGTAGTACAATATTTGTAGCGCAGCTGACGTAGAACAGAATGTGCGGTGCAAGCTATGTTGTGCAACATAGGTAGTGCAGCTTAGGTGGTGCAATGTTTGCGGTGCTATCTATCTTGGGCAATCTATGATGTGCAATCTGTGTGATGCAATCTGTGTTGTACACTCCAGGCGGTGACGAAGCGGCGACGGCGAGCACGGAACCGTCAGGCCGCCAACCATGCCCAGACGACGGGCGGCGACGAGGCGGCGACGGCGAGCTCGGGCCGTGAAGCCGCCAACCCGGCCCAGACGACGGGCAGCGACGAGACGGCAACGGGACAGCGACGGCGAGCACGGAGCCGTCAGACCGCCAGCCAGGCCCAGTTCCTTCGAAGAGAAATGCGAAGCCCTACGTGCAAGCAGTGTTTAGGGAGTAGGAAGAAGAAGAGGAAAGAGAAGGACGACGAGGCGTTAGGGAGTAACGACAATGATGATGAGGAGGAGGATGTTGATGATGGTATGGTGGTGGTGATTATGATGACGATGGTGATGATGACGGTGGTGATGCTGATGGTGATGGTGATGGTGATGGTGACGGTGATGGATGGTAAAAATGAGTGTGATGATGATGATGGTGATGGTTATGACGATGACGATGCTGGTGACGATGCTGCTCACGACGACGATGATGATTATGATGAGCATGATGATGTTGATGATGGTGATGACGATGATGGTGATGATGGCGATGCTGACGATGATGATGGCGATGACGATGACGATGGTGATGATGACGACGATGCTGATGCTCATGGTGATGATAATAATGGTGATGATGCTGATGCTGATGATGACGATGACGATACTGATGATGAGGATGATGGTGATGATGGTGATGAAGATGATGATGATGATGCTGATGATGATGACGACGACGAAGACGACGACGACGATGATGATGATGCTGACGACGGTGATGGTGATGGCGGTGATGATGAGGATGATGATGCTGATACTGATGATGAGTATGATTATGGTGTTGATGGTGATTATGGTGGTGATGATGATCATGGTGGTGATTACGGTGATGATGACGAGGATGACGATGACGATGGTGTGGATGATGATGATGATGATGATGATGATGATTCTGATGATTCTGATGATTCTGATGATGGTGCTGGTGGTGAGGATGCTGATGGTGATGATGATGCCGATGATGCCGATGGTGACGAGGGGGACGACTGTGACGACTCTGATGGTACTGGGTGGTGATGATGATGGTAATGATGATGTCGATGATGCTGATGATGGTGATGATGATGATGATGATGCTGATGATGGTGGTGAGAATGGCAATTGCAAGAATGAATGATGATGGTGATGACGACGACGATGATGATGATTATGATGGTGATTGCGATGAGGATCTCGATGGCGAGGACGATGGCGATGGCGCTGGCGATGGGCGATACCGATGCTGATGAGCATGATGGTTGTGATACTGGTGGTGATGATGATGATGATAAAGATGGGAATATTGATGGTGATAATGATTAGGAGAACGCGAACGATGGCCATGCCGATGACGATGAATATGACGATGGTGACGGCGATGGCGAAGGTGATGATGGTGGCGATTGCGACGACGATGATGACGATGGCGACGACGACGACAACGATGATCATGATGTTGATGACGACGACGATGGTCATGATGATGAGGATGATGTTGATGATGATGATGTTGATGATGGTAGTGGTGATGCTGCTGAAATGATGGCGATGGTGGTGGCGATGATGTTGATGATGATGATGATGCTGATGATGATGATGATGATGATGATGATGATGATGATGATGATGATGATGATGGTGATGATGATGATGGTGATGATGCTGATACTGCTGCTGATGATGATGATGACGCCACTAAGAAGGCGGGTATCCTGAGAGAGGAGAAGAGAGTATGAGGAGGACGAGGACGAGGACGAGGAGGAGGAGGAGAAGAGAAAACGTAGGAGGAGGGAGGAGGAGGAGGAGGAGGAGGAGGAGGAGGAGGAGGAGGAGGAGGAGGAGGAGGAGGAGGAGGGGAGGAGGAGGAGGGAGGAGGAGGAGGAGGAGAGGAGGAGGAGGAGGAGGAGAGGAGAAGAGGAGGGGAGGAGGAGAAGAGGAAGAGAAGAGGAGGAGGAGGCAGGAGGGCGCCGCGTCCGTGCCGACGCCCCTCTCTGGAGGCCTCAGAGGGGGCGCAGCGATTTGCGTCAGAGAGCGGCGATGCATCCCCAGTCTTCCTCTTTTTCCTCCTCCTCCTCCTCCTCCTCCCTCCCTCCTCCTCCTCTCCTCCTCCTCCTCCTCCTCCTCCTCCTCCTCCTCCCCCTTTTTCCTCCTCCTCCTCTCCTCCTCCTCCTCCCCTATTTTTCCTCCTCCTCCACTCCTCCTCCTCCTCCCCCTCCTCTGTGTCCTCCTCCTCCTCCTCCTCCTCCTCCTCCTCCTCCCTCCTCCTCCTCCTCCTCCTCCTCCTCCCCCTCCTCACTGCAGGGCGCGCCACCTCCTCGCTGCGAGTCCCCAAAGCCCCAAGCCCCCTTTTCTCTCCCTCCTCGCTGCGCAAGCCCCACCCTCGCCCTGCTTGCTGCGGGGAGCGCCCCCCTGGACACACGAGCGCCCCGCAGCTCGGACAAGAGCCCCGCTGCCTCAAGCAGCCACCCTCCATCCTTACAGCTGTGAAGAGCGCGAGCAAAGTGGGCCAAAAAGACCAAGGACAATTTTAGCGAGACTCCCGCCTTGAAAACGAGCCGTCCTCCATTCGTGTAACTGTGGCGCAGAATCACAATATTGGTCAAGAAGATGTGGTGGCATCTCAAGCGAAGGCCATGTTCAAAAGGATTCGCCTTCATGCTGTTGTAGCTGCTGCACAAGCTTGAAAGCCAGGTCCACCAAAAAAGGAATCGTCCCCCCCCCATCCATTCGTGTGACCGTTGGAACGATTTGGGCAGGACGTGCGCGGGGGTATACGCAAGGCGAGAACCACACTTGAACAACGGCCCTCCCTCCATCCGTGCAACTGCTGCGCACCCTCATCGGCGCCCAGACCCGAGGGCCCCCCCACCCATTCCTCCCTGCCGCCCCCAGACATGAAGGGGCCCTGGGACACACAAATAAATAGACACAAATAAGCGGACTCCCCATATTTCCGATATTTCCTTGGTCTTTGTCTTCCCCCCCACTTCCCATACTTTCCCACATTTTCTGGGGGATCGACGATTCATTGTGCCTGTGTGGCTTTTCCCTCCTGAAGACATCCGACCATGTGATGCTCTCCGCACGCGCCCCCAGATGGCCCGACCGCTGCCCCGGGGCCCGCTTCGGCTACAGTCGGGGCGTTGACCTAAGGAACCCTAAATAAGGAACGAGGCCTCTTTTTTTCCATAAGTTGAACTTCGACTTCCGATCGAAAACATAAGGGGAACCTGAGGCAATATGTGAAACACTTAAGGAACACGGAGCCCCTCCCCAACGAAAAGGGTTCCTTCTTCAGGGCCCCGACTGTACACGCAATGGAGTGATCCCAGGCACGAGTGGCCTCTGGTGCGCGGCCCTCGGGGGGCGCGACGGGGCAGATCGTAAGTCGGGCGTGTCCCCCTACAGAGGGATTTTCGACGGAAAATAAAGAATACCCCCCAAAATACCCAAAGAATAGCACCCAGACTATTAGTGGACTATGTTTGGACTATCTTTTGGGGCATCTTTTACCTTTCGTCGACAGTCCCCCCGGAGGGGGACAGGCCCGACTAGATGCTGGGGGGACCCCTGTGAGAGCCCGCACCAGAGGTCACTCTGGCCAAAGGCCACTCTCACGTGCAGTCGGCAGCTCTGCATCCCGGGCCCGTGCATGACAGCCCCTGGGCACGACGACGGCGCCCCGGAGGCCGCCATCGAGGCACACCCGCCGGCCGAAACCACCACGCCGTCGGAGGCCTGGGCCGCCACGGAGTGCCCGCCGCGCCGCGCCGGGTGCTCGCCGCCGCCGCCGCCGCCGCCGCCTCCCGACGTGCTCCTCCTCCTCCTCCTCCTCGTCCTCCTCCTCCTCCTCCTCCTCCTCCTCCCTCCTCCTCCTCCTCCTCCTCCTCCTCCTCCTCCTCCCTCCTCCTCCTCGGAGCGGCCTCCCCTGCCGGAGGCCTCCGCCGCCAGGGGGGGCGAGCGCCTCCGCCGCCGCCCGCCGCCGCCGCCGTCGCCGCGCGGCGTCGGCGCCGCCGCCGCCGCCGCCGCCCGCCCGCGGAATCGGCGCCCGCCCGCTCGGCGCGCGCCGCCCGAGGCTTCGCGCGGGGGGCTCTCCAGGTCGGGGCGCCTCGGCCGCCCACGTCTTCGCCTCCAGCGCCGGGAGGAGCCGCCCGTCCGGAAGAAGCGCGAACACGCGGCCCAGCGCAGCCTCGCGAGGGAGGGGGAGGGGAGGAGGGGGAGGAGGGGAGGAGGGGGAGGAGGGGGAGGAGGAGGAGAGGAGGAGGAGGAGGGAGGAGGAGGAGGAGGAGGAGGAGGAAGAGGAGGAGGCGGGCGGCGCTCGCTAGCGTTCGTGGGCAAGCTTTAGGCCTCCGGGGGGCCTTCGGGAGACCCCAGGAGGCCTCCGGGGGGCCGGCGGGCGGCTCCAGGAACCCGGGGGGGGAGGCTCCACCGGCGCCACGTGCCTTCACTTCCGCTCGGCCGTAGTCGTGGGCTCCTGCATCCGTACAGCCGGGGCGTTGACCTAAGGAACCCTAAATAAGGAACGGGGCCCCTTTTTCCCATGAGTTGAACTTCGATTTCCCATGGAAAACCTCAGGAAAACAGGAGGCAAGCTGCAGAACAATCAAGGAACACCGAGCCCCTCCCCAGCGAAAAGGGTTCCTTCTTCAGAGCACCGACTGTATGCTCACGCCGAGGTCTCCTCGCAGGCGCAGCTACTCTGACCCAGGTGGCTTCCCGTGCCCTCGCCGTCCTTTCGAGGTGGATGGGGCTGCCGAGCGGCCCTCCTCGCCTCGATCGGAGACCAGTGCAGGAGCTCCCTGGACCCCCCGGACAACTCAGGAAAAAACCCGAAAAGTTCAAGGGGCCCAAGGGCACACAAATATTAAGTACACGCAAGTAAAACGCTCCCCCCATATTTTCCCATATTTTCGGGGCTTTTGTCTTCCCGCCCAATTCCCATATTTTCCTACATCTTCCTGGCGATCGACGATTCATTGTCTCTGTGTGTTTCTTCCCTCCTGAAAAATATCGACAAGGTTTATTTGTTTTGTGTTTTTCCCACCCGGATCCCGGGGGGGAAGGGGGAGAGGGGAGCTTGGGCTTTTTGGGGGGCTGGGGTCCGACACTTGAAAGCAGTACCATCTCAAAAACAAAAAAAACCTCCGAAAACAAAAGCTGGGACAAAAACACAAGAAAATTTGAACTTTTTGTTCGGAGGTTCTTCGGGGGGCGCCCGGGAGCGATCGGGCAAACCCCTTCAAATCGCAATTCTGACCAACCCCCCCGGGACCCCCCCAACTCGGGTTTTGCATTAAAATAAAAATGTACGAAGGGGGGGGGTCCGGTGTTTTCCAAAATTTCCAGGGGAGGGGGACCCAGACCTCCATTTCGCGGTTTTCTCGTGGGTTTGTCGTATGTTTTCCAAGGAGGGAAACCCTAGAAAAACCACCCAAATCGAACGTTTGTCCGGTGTTTTTCTGTGGTTTTCCGGGGGGGGGGACCCCGAAAAACCCACCAACTCAGGGGAGTTTTCGGGAGTTTTTCCGGGGAACCTCCCCCCCCCATAAAAAAATATTTCTGAAGATCCCCGGACTACCACCTCGGGAGTTCTGGGGCCCCACACATAAAAACCAATATAATTTCTGACAAGAAAAACCGGGACACTCCAGAAAAACCTCCCAACCCAGATGTTGTTCGGTGTTTGCGAAAGGTTTCTGGGGCCCCACAACTAAAAACAATACCATTTCTGAAGACCTCCCGGAGAACCCCCGAAAAACCTTCCAACTCGGACGGAGGTTTTTCGTGTTTTTGTTCGAAGGTTCTGGGGCCCCACCAGTAAAAGGCACTACCATTTCTGAGGACCCCCCCGAAACACACCTCAACTCGGGACTTTTTTCTGTCGTTTTTCGGTGGTTCTGGGGCCCCCCCGGGAACCCCCCGAAACAAAAACCCAACTCGGATTTGCTCATGTATCGTTTCTCTGGTTATTGGGTGCGTTCTAGAATATTTTTCCGGATGGGGAAACCAGAAACCCATGAACAAGTTCGGTGGTTTGTCGGGGGTCCTGGAGCCCCACAATTGAAATAATATTATTTCTGAAGACCCCCTGGACAACCCCCGACAAAAAACAACAACTCAGGTTTTTGTATGTGTTTTCGGTGGTTATCGGGCCCGGCAGTTTAAAACAAGACTCGGTCTGACCCCCCCGGAGAAACTCCAGACAAAAAAAAGCATAAACATTTTCTTTTGTGAAGATTTCTTGTTTTGTTTCTGCGGTTGTTCGGGAATTCTGGGGCCCCACACGTCCGCCGACCCCTTGTGGGTCTCCAGCCCCTCACAACCCCCCGGGGACCCCAAGTCGGCAATTTGACCCCCCCCCCCCGGCCGCGGAAGGTCCTGGACAATGCGCGCCAGGGGCGGGGGGGAGGGGCATCACGGCCCAAGAGCACCAAGACGCTCCCCAGACGGTCCAAGTAGGTCACGAGTGGCCGAAACACCGTGCAAAAACGCCGACGATGGTCTCCAGACGGCCTCCGAAGCCCCCAAGACACCCAAAGAGGCCCCGAACATGCGTCCCAAGAGGGTCCCCCCCGACGCAAACATGATCTCATTCCCTTCGTGAAACGTCATGTTTAACAAAATCGCCATTTCAGCTGTCCGCTGGTCCAAGACGACTCAAGAGCCCCCCAACACCGCCCCAGGACGGCCCAGGAGGCCTCCCACGACGAAGACGGCCCCTGAGGCCTCCAAGACGGCCCAAAAGGCGCCCGAAACGGCCCAAGGGAGCCCCAAGACGGGCCCCAGAGAGAGCCTAGAGGGGAACCACGAACCGAAAGCTCCAGTGTTCTGCCGCAAGAGGTCGCGCGAGGAAGCCAAAACAAACACCCAAAAAGCCCCAAGGAGCCTCAAGGGGTCGAAAACAGGCCCCAGGAACCCCCCAAACGGCGAAAAAACGGCCCCAAGAGGCTCCAAAACGGCGACCGCGAGGCCTCGAACCAGGTTCCAGGAGGCCCCCGAAAGGCAAAACACGAGATACCGATCAACATTCATGAGCCCTCTGCCCTCGTTGTCGCCGCCGTCGCTGTCTTCACCCCCTATATCCTATTCATCGCCCTCCTCCTCCTCGTCCTCCTCCCCGTCCCCCCCCTCGGCCCCGTCCTCCGAAGATTATTCCCCCCCGGTTTCCGCAGATGTGCCTCAGGTGGTACCACTTGAGGCGCGCTACTCTAGCCCGCAATCCAGGCACCAGGGGCCCACGCCGCGCGGAGCACCAGCACCGCACGAAACACCCCACGAAATGCCAAACGTAACACAACACAAGACACATCAGCCAACACTACACGAAGCGCCACATGAGACACCCCACCATACACTACGCGGGAAACCCAAAGAAGCACCCCACGAAACCCTCCACGAAACGCCCCACGACACCCCACCATACACTCCACTGCGGGCGCCTCTTTGGGCCGCTACTCGTGATGGCATTGGCGCTGACAGGAGTATCACTTGCATGACTTGCATTTGAGGATGCCCTTCTTTGCGTCACGCGCGACGTGGATACCGTCCACGGCGAAGGCCGACTTAGGCAGTTTTCGTGGCATTTGCCACTGCACTGGCAGGCGCCCCAAAATATGCCAGGAGGGCACCAAGACGCCCCCCAGACGGTCCAAGAGGGCCTCGAGACGCCGAAACATCGCTCCGAGACGCCCACGATAGCCTCCAGACGGCCTCGGAAGCCCCCATGACGCCCCAAGAGACCCCCAAGGTGCGCCCCAAGAGGGCCCCAAGAAACAAATGTCTGCCCATTCCGTTCGTTAAACGTATATGTTTCGCACATTCGCCTTTTGGGCTTTCACAACGTCCAAGACGGGCCACGGAACCTTCAAGATCGCCCAAAAACGGCAAAACAAATCCAAGACAGCCCAAGAGGGCCCCCAGTCGGCCCCACGAGAGACCCCACAGGGCAATGTCCGGCCCCGAGACATCCCCAGCCTGCCCCAAAAACCCCTCAAGAGGCACCAGAGATCCCCGAAAAAGCCACAAAGGACACCAGGAGGCCCCCAGAAACCCCCCAAGAGGCCCAAATACCCTCAAGAAGCCCAGATACCACCTCCAAGACGCCCACGTGGGGCCTCCTCCCACGACATCGCATCAACTATCCGAGCGCCCTCAGACCCGCAACCCAGCCACGGTGGCGGGATACGCCGTCGGCCATTCGAGAACCACTCCTCCGGTTTTTGGACCGACGCCTGCCGTCTGCGAGCGATGGTCCACAGGACCGCGCTCCCGAAAAAAAACAAGGGGTCGGCGGGTGTGGCGTAAGCCTATAGGGTAAAAAAGACAACTGTTTCTGATAACCTTGCGGAATACCGATTTATATATATACTAGAACCACGCGCGCTTCGCGCGCGCTTAGGTTCTAGTCACTCCCGCGACCACACCCAACACCGCCAATGCCGCCACGGCTACCACCGCCCTTTCCGCCATCACCGCGGTCATGACCATGTCGGATTCCATGTCCATTCTGGGCATGACCACCCCATCCACAATGATTGCACTGTCCACGACCACTATAACGGCCATTGGTTCAACCTCTGCCTGTACCGCCACCAATACCACTACCATTGCCACTGCCACTGCCACTGCCGCGAATCCACGACCACTATCATTACCACCACGGCAAGTGCCACCGCCACGACCATCCTAATCGTCGGTAGGACCAATCGGCGCACGAACTGAAGCCAACTGCAGCCACCACCACCACGACCCCTCCAGGGCTCTCCTGGGGGCGTCTTCTGGGCCCCTTGGCGCTGTCTTGGGAGCCTTTTGGGGCTCTCTTGGAGCCCTCTTGGGCCGTCTTGGGGCTCTGATGAGATGTCTTGGGGCCCTCTTGGGCCGTCTTGGAGCTCGCTTGGGACCCTCTTGGGGGCCTCTTGGCCGAATTGGGGATCCCACTGCTTCTTCTCGCATCCTCGTTATTCAGTGTTCACTTCTCTTCGCCTATGCTCGTTTCCTCGCCCTTCCTCCCCTCGTCCTTCTGCGCACTTTTCCTGCTCAGCCTTCCCTCTTCTTCCTCCTCGTCCTGATATTTTCTGTATCTTCCCTCTATCCCCCTGCTCCTCCTCCCTTCCTCCTCTTCCTTCTCCCTCCCCCCCGCGTGGATCTCCGCTGGAGAAGCCTCCGGAAACTCTGGGAGGCCAGGTTCGTCTG